CAATGAGCACCATCTTTAACTTAACATATCAAGTGAAGACATCTGACAACCAATGAAGTGATACTTCTTTGAAAGGGATGAAAAACATACGACATTTCAAAGCGTCGTTAATAGCAAGTAATGAGGTGGTTGACTCGGAGTAGGCTACATGGTCAGTTAGGTACATTGTTCCTTTACACGATTTTAAGTGTGAAGCTTAAACTACATTGGAAACTTAGTTTCTGCAATCTCCTTATAGAAGGCATTTGTCAGCTGGGGACTTTGACTTTTGACTCACCTAGGCAAAGGATTGGACTCCCCATCATTGTCGAGACAATAAGTCCATACACAAATAGTGTTGAGGTTAGCATTCTCGTGCTTGAGTATTGTCTTCATGTAATTAAATTCAAAGATACTTTCCGTGTCTCTACCCTCGAGACTGCTCTAGTAGACATTCCAAAGTTTTCAAAATCATCCTTATGATCCTCTCCTGCACCTCTGCAAATTATTTATTGGTCACAAACTCCTGATTTTTTATTTTTAAGTATATTTTTACATTAGGGTGATACGGTTTTTGTAATACATTTTTTTTTTCCTTTTTGACATTAATTAATGCTTAATGCACCAAAAAAGATGTTAGAACGAAGTATCTCCATAACAATGCCCAAACCGCACACTTGGAACAAAATAACCTAGTGAAGCCCTAAGAGAAAGAAGGGGAAAATTGCCCAAACCGCACACTTGGAACAAAATAACCTAGTAAAGCCCTAAGAGAAAGAAGAAGGGGAAAAGGAGAAAGAAGGGGAAAATAAAAAAGGGATGATTACATATAGACCACAAGAAACATTGTTATTTACAAATCAAGCACCTAGGTGATTTTTTGAACTACCAAACCGATCCATTTATGCGTGCCACGATCAAACCATTGTGAATTTGATGAAAAAAAAAAGGTTTGGCGTTTTATCATGACCTTTGATATTTGAGTGAGAATTTGAAAAATGGATAAAAGAGGGTGCTTGATTTGTAAACAACAATATTTTGGGTGTCATGTATGTAATTGCCCATCTAAAAGAAGAGGAAGGGTAAAAAAATTGAAGAATCATCTTCTCTAAGCTAGAAGATCAAAGTATATATCTCCCTGAAAAATGACTCAATAGCCAATATTCATAGAGTTTTAAGACAGTAAAGGAGAACCTACACTTTAAGCTTGTAATAGATAAATAAATAAATCTATTATAGACATGTGGACAAGGAGATCCTAATCAGAGTAAGTACGATAAGTATTTTGAAATTTTTTCCAACCGAATATAAGGAGTCACCATCTCAAAATAAACATGTTTCTTATGTCACCCAAAAGATTATCTTCGGAGCAAGGCGAGTGCCATGCAAGCTTGACAAGTAAATTTGAGTCATGTATCCTGATTCATGGCGAGCTCACCTGGTCTTCTCAGCTTTAGCCTAAAGTGCATATTTGGGTATAGTGTCGAGAATTAAACTTGTTTTCACATATTTAATAAATAAGAAATAGACTTGAATTTTCTCAAGGAGTTAATGCTTGATTTTAGAAAAGTTAGAAAATAAGTTCAATGGCTGAACACTATAAATCTTGATGACTCAGAATGAGAGAAAAGATGAGTAAGGTGCACCAATTAAACACAAAAGGAAAGAAGAATATATTGCGTGCAAATTATATACCTAGCCCTACGTACTAGTACAAGAGTATATAGTTGTGTAGTCATATAATCAATACATAGTTCTGCCATATATGTGGACTCATATAATTTTTACAAAAAATTGCACATGATATTTACACATAATAATTTCTCATGGAGATGACAACTTAAATTTGAACCTTAGTTGTAAAAGAAAACAACCAACATGATGTTGATGATATATATATATATATATATATAAACAACTTAGAAATTAGGCTTGATCATTTTATATCGTTTGCTTCGGGTGATTTTTTTATATACCTAATGCATAATCAAATCATCTTAAAATTGATAAAATTGGGTATTGTATCAATTTTTATGATTTTTTTTTAGTAAATCCTTTTAATTTACCAAATTAATATTGTGTGATAGAAAAATATGTCAAAATAAAATCAATTAATTCTTCGCCAGAGTCCAATAATTTTCCAAGAGGGATCTACAACAGAAAATATAAAGTTTTAAAAAGAGGAACCGAATAACATCTCAAAATAAAACAAATACTAAATTCTTCCAGTAAGCAACAAAATAAAAACAATAACAAATACAAATACAATATTCAAGCTAAATCAGGCGCCGAAATCATGCAAAAAAACACAAATAATAAACATAGCAATCAATTCAACAAACAAAAACACAAAAGTTTAACTAAACAACATCAAATGTTCAAAGAAGAAAAAAAAAACTAATTTTTCTTTAATCAAGCAAGCAGAGAATGGAAATAGTATGACCTGGCCAACCATCCTGTGAAGGATGACTCTTGGCAACCAATGAAGTGACACTTTTTTGAAAAGGGTGAAAAACATACAACATTTTAAAGTGTCAATGATAGCAAGTAATGAGGAGGCCGATTCGGAGTAGGCTACATGATTAGTTAAGTCCATTATTCCTTTATAGACTTCAAGTAGGGAAGCTTGAACTTCATTGGAGACATGATTTCTACAATTTCCTCATAGAAGGCATTTGTAAGCTGAGGATTTTGACTTTTGACTCACCTAGGCAAACAACCAGACTCCCCATCAATGTTGGGATAATAAGTCCATCCACAAATAGTGTATAGGTTAGTATTCTAATGCTTGAGTATTGCCTTCGTGTAATTAAATTCAAAGATACTTCTAGTGTCTCTACCCTTGAGATTGCTCTACTAGACTGTAAAACGTTCAAAATCATCCTTATGATTCTCTCCTCCATCTCTGCAAATTATTTATTGGTCACAAACACCTGATTTTCTATTTTTAAGAAAATTTTTACATTGGGCTGATATGGTTTTTGTAATAACTGATTTATTTTTGCATCAATTAATGCTTATTGTATCAAAAATTATTTTGTAATAACTGATTTATTTTTGCATCAATTAATCAAAAATTGTTTTAAAATTAAGTATCTCAGTGACAATACCCAAACCCCGAACTTAGAACAAAAGAAAATTAGTGGAACACTAACAGAAAAAAGAAGGGAAAATAAAAAGAGGAAGGACTTAAAAATTGAAGGATCGTATTCTATAGACTAGAACAACAAAGTACATGTCTCCCTTAAAAATGACTCTTTTGATCGATATTTAAAGGGTTTTAAGACACTAAAGGAGAACCTACATTTTAACCTAGTAAAAAATAAATATTTAAATATAAATATGTGGATAAGGTGATCATAATCGAAGTAAGTACGATGAGTACTTTGAAATTTTCGCCAACTGAACATGAGGAGTCACCATCTTAGAACTAGTGGGTTTCTTCTGTCACCCAAACGAGTATCTTCAAAGCAAGGTGAGTGTCATATAAGCTTGAGCAAGTAACTTTGAGATTCATGTACCCTGATTCATGGTGAGTTCACCTAGTCTTTTCACCTTTAGCCTGAACTGCATATTTGGATGCATAGTAGGGAGACATGAACTTGTTTTTTACATAGTTAATAAATAATAAATAGACTTGAATTTTCTAAAGGAATTAATGCTTAATTTTAGAGAAGTTAGAAAATAACTTCAATGATTGAACACTATAAATCTTTATGACTGATGACTCCGAATGACAGAAAAGATGAGTAGGCCGCAACAAGTAAACACAAAAAAAAGGAAAGAATAATATATTGTGTACAAATTATATACCTAGTCGTATGTGCTATCTACAAGAGTATATAGTTTTGTATTCATATACTCGAAACATAGTTCTACGTAGATGTGTACTCATATAATCTTTACATAAAGTTTCACATGTTTTTTGCACGTAATTATTTCTCTTGGAAATGATACTTTAAATTTGAACCTTAATTGTGTAAGAAAAACAGCCAATATGATGTTGATAATATATATATATATATGTGTGTGTGTGTGTGTGTGTGTGTGT